ACCATGGTAGTAGTTAGGGGGAAGCGACACCCGAGTGATCCTTCCACAAAAGAGCTTTCAAAACCATTCACCTTTGTCTTGTTTTACTTAAATTAGCAAACTTTTCAACCAAAACTTTATTACTAGATAATGATTCAAATGACTGAAGTAGGGGTAGAAGGACCGGCCCGGGTTGATATTTAAACATACTTATCCTATACTGCACCCGACTAAGGTTTATACTTGGACCTTAGGCGGGAATTTATTGTGGTATTCGGGACGAGTCACTTATCCCAACCATGGCCAGGTGCAACCAACAGTCGAGTGTAGTATACTGGAAGTAAAGTTTAAATATCATCCTGGTACTCCAATGTAATATTACTTCGCGAACTAACTTGTTATCTAATAAATGGAAGTTTGAATTAACTAATCAAATGAAAAACAAAGAAAAGAAATTTTGTTGAAAACTATTAAGAGAAAGTCACGCGGATGTCGTTTCCCTCTAGCAACAAAATAGATCGATGAATGATGTTCCAAGCAATGCAATCAAAATCACAATTCTATATAGAAGCGTTTTGATTACCTAGAAGTGTAAAAACGTAGTCTTTTAACCTTTAAAGCATAGATTTTGACCATAATTGTAAGAGAAAGGTATGAATCTACGTAGAAGCATTTTGGTGACCTATAAGTGTAAAAACGTAAGATTTGAAGATTTAAAGCGCGATTTTGACTACATTGGTTCGAATCTTACCAAATCATGATTTATACTCAGGAGAATCATATTTCCACTTAGACTCCCTTTGGAGTTATTCAAACTCACCTAGAAAAGACTATCCGGAGAAAGAGTTTCAACATCCAGAAAAAGAACATTTAGGGCATGCCAAACAGATTCCTGCTAATAGATAATGATCCCATACATCATCATAGTTGGAAGTCACACTCGATCCATCGCCCACAATGAATAACTAGGTAGTTGTTCTAATCAACCTAATTGGATATTCTCTACCTTAGGTTAATAGCAATAATAGGAGGATTTCATCAATACCCAAACCAATTCCATGAAATACATCAATTCTATATTTAATCAAGATTTCAAACAAGCTAAGGGATAATTCATTCATCCAATCTAGAACATATGGCTAGAGCTCTACAACACCCAAGTGAAGAAGGTTTAGCTCATAGTGATAGAGAGACAAACACAAAATTCAAGATAAGGATATTTCAAGATAAGAAAATATCCTTGAAGATTGGATTCTTACTCTTGATATTCAATCTTCAACCCTTAATGATGTGATTAACCTCTAATGATGAATTGAAGCTCCAATACAACACCAAGGTATCTCTTTCATCACTTTTTTTATCTACCCAGGAGCTCGCACTTTCTCACTCTAGAATACTCCGCAAAAATGTGATTTCAGCTCCTATTTTATATCCCAATAGTGCAAAGTTCACGGTTTCACCTCAATGTCGTGAGAATTACATCCAAACCATGAGTTCAACACAAGGTGTTTTGTTTGACTTACATACCTCAAGGTTTTTTTTTTTTTTTGCAATTGTCAAGGTTTGCAACCATGAGGTTTACAAGTGTCCGTGAGATGCATATGACTTTCTGGAAGTGTGCAGATCTCAGGGCTTCTTTGTAATTGTCACGGTTTGTAAAATGTGTCATCTTCAAGCTCATGTGAGACACAATTGGGCTTCTGGAACTACTCTAAATGTCATGGCTTCCTTGTGAACGTCATGGCTTGGCTGTGAGAATTTGCTCTGAACTGTGACTTTTGCACTTTTCTTCATTTCTCCCTATTTTGGCTCTCATTGGTACTACTCTTGCTCCTTTTTCCAATATCATATGCTAGGACTCGAAATTCATACGAGTGGCGAACTAGAAGTTGTTGTGGTCACAAGTAGTATCGTAATGTGGTGCACCATCGAACAAATCACCGAACAAAAAGGCCTGTCCTATATCATATTGAATTATCTCTTATACCGGACTGGAGGACATAAATATGCCTTGAAAGGGCCTTTTCTTAAATCTTTGAGGGCATATATATGAACTAATGGGCGAGACCAACCACATATAAGAAGACTAGAGAAGATCCATCTTCCTTAGATAAGGAAAGATTGAATTCTACCTCCTTTATAATATAAGTTTCTATTATTGGAGTGAAACTCTTCCATTATTCCATATTAGCACTTTGTCCTTCTTGCTTGGCAGGTTCTGAACATAGTATACTTTGAATCATGATTGTTCTATATTTCCGGTAATTTTTTTCTTGTTTGTTTTCACTAGGTTACAACGATCTCAGAGCAAAGGAAATTATTATTATATTACAGGCTAGTGAAAGAGAATAATTAACTCTTACCACACATCCAAGGGTAGGTCCCACGTATTATTTTTAAATTATGAAGAAGTCGCTCATTCTTTCTTTTCATTCATTGATGTATTGCTTTCCACCTTAGGACAGATCTTAGAGTCGACAAAATGAACGATTTTGCTTATGGTATGAGAGGTCTAAGTCTTTAAAATGTTGAAACAAGTATGCCCTTACGCACTATTGCTTATTGTAGTTCGACCAATCCTTTGGGATTTTAGTTAAAAATCACTAGTTTCATAACAAAAAATGAGGTAAGTCTTCCTATATATATGAGACCTTGCTTTATTAATTTAATGATCATCACGTTTTCACTTTCTTATTATTAAAGTTATAGAAATAAGGCTTTAGATACTGAGTAAACCTCATCCTCGTCGGATAAGTTGCCGCACACATTGTCAAAATCCTTAGATATCCTTTAGCTTGAATGGTTTGGTGTCTTCCCTCCTGTTTGTTGAGTTAGAGGTGCTATTTGCGTTTGAGAAGCTTCATTTCGCTCATTGTCATCATCGTTTTCCATATCATTCTCTACCTCCTCATTATGTAAATCGAGTTTTTCTACCTCCTTTACATGTCTATCAATCCTTGCCTTCACCTTACTTTTTCTCTTTTCCCCATAAGCTCGTAGATTGGACCTCGCCATATGGTATTCATTGTTAGAAGCAGCAGCCATTTCCTGCTAAGAAGGCATCGGGATCTTCTTCTTGGTTTGGGTAATTCTATCTTAGCAGCTCATTCCATGAATCAGCCATCTGTAGAGACACACGACTACCATCAATATAGTCATTATCCTAAGTTTAACAGTTTTTTAATTACTAACGAATAAATGAAAACCACCCACACACATTATTCTATGTTAGGGTTTTCCGAAACCAATTACTACTATATCCAGAATTTTGAGGTTTTCACAAGCAATTGTTGTCGCTTGTTGTGCTGCTTTCCTACCTTTATTGCTCGCTACAAACTATAAAAAGGAGCAACCAACATTGAAGAAACTTTACCCACATTCGAACACCACCACCACTGTATTTAAAGAGTACTTATAGGTCCCGTCAACGGAAAGAGCCTAGAAATCGAGCTTCGTCATCATCAGAAATCTTCAATGCAATTAAGTGTTTTTCGTTCAAAGTCTCCTCGGGAATCCTCATGAAGGTGGTTCATTCGTCCTCACCATGAATCTTCGGTGTCATTGGAGAAAGCTCGTCATGTGTCTATTAACCGGCCGGATGCATTGACGAGTCGGTCGAGAAAGGGAGGCGGTGTTGTGGGATGGATGTGGGGAGGATAATCCGGATTAGAGAAAGAGGTTTCTTTGTGGTGATGGGTTCGTCAATCAAGAGGGGTTCGCTGCTCGTCGGAGAAAGGTCGCCAATCTTGAAAATGGAGGATTCGTCGTCGTCGAAAGACTAGGAGATGGGGGTGAGAATATGAAGACAAGGGTGGGAAGTGGGAACACGAAAGGGGAGAGAGAAGCACGAATGACTAAAAGACACTTTTCAGATTTTTTAGATTTTAGATTTGTTTTTTTTTAATTCATCCATGTGCAATTGTCACCGAAGAAATGTTGACATGTCAGCCTTTCTGTTAGTTCAGTCAGTCTATTAGTTGACACTCTTACAAAATTGAATGTAATTGACTGTTTTGGATATTTCTCCAAAAGTAGTTAGCATTGAAAAAACGTGAAAGTTTTGATCAATGCAGTCAAAATCGCGCTTTAAAACTTAAAAACTTACGGTTTTACGCTTCTAGAACACTAAAACGCTTTCGTTTCCATATAAAATCTTAAGTGTATAAAATCGGGACTAAATGCGCTTTATAGCTTAAAAGCTTACGCTTTTACGCTTTTGGTTCACCAAAACGCTTTACGCTTCTAGCTGACTAAAGGAGTATTCTATTAACGAAACTACTTATATTTTACAGGTAAATCACAAAAAATATGATATATTTAAGATTAAAAGATACCTATCAAGTACTTGGGTGCATTCTTAGTTTCAATAGGGTAATCTAATTCACCAACTAGGCCCTTCCCAAAATCACTAGCTTAGAGGGGAAGGTAGCTTATGGTTAAGATATATATTTATGAACTTATTGTTAAAATGTTATGAGTTTATCAACTTTAGACATGAATTACAGGTATTTATTAACTTATCTAAACTATGTGCACTCATATTTTACATAGTAAATGTCGTACTTAACACATTTTCCGTTATTTTACAGTATACGTAAAAAACTTACGTTTTTACGCTTTGATTCTACGGTTTACGATTTTACCCATTTTCCGCTTCCAGGTAGAATCGCGCTTTTGACTACATTGGTTTTGATAATAAAAGTATATCTTATCTTTATCTTTATTTTATTAATTAGTTTTATAATGAAATCATCATTAGTGATAATTGATATGGTTTTATTATGATATTATAAATTTATAATCATACAATTTTGTTATTATACGATTTCATTAGAAACATAAAAGGGAGAAAACTAGCTCACGTGTCACGTGCTTTAAACGGAACTTCCATTTACATAGAGGGTCGCCGACGAGCTACCAAGGGCAGAGCCAGATGTCCTTCTATAATTCGCCCCCTCCAACTCCCACCTGATGGCTCATCCCACAAACTAAATATAAAAAACAAAACACTGACACACAAAATCCTCCCTTCCCCACCTCGATTTCCGAAAACCCCCCAAAAAAAAGGAAAAAATTTCCCCAATTCCCCACCAGGATTCTGCCCTGACAACCTCCGCCCGCAGCAAACCCATTTTAATGGAGTCCACCAAGAAATTGGCCGCCCTTCTCTGCTCCCTCACTTCCCAGCTCCTCGCCCTCCTTCTCCTCCTCTTCCCTTCTTCCTCTCCCCATGAATCCGCCAATACCTCCGCTGCAGCCGCCGCCGCCTCCTCTTTCCTCCCTCTCATCCACCATTACCTCTCCTCCCAAGAGATCGCCGCCTTCCTCACCGCCTCCTCCAGGAAACGGAAGCGAACCCAATTGCCCGACATCGATTCCCATCCGGCCCGCGATCGCCGAGTCAGCGAGCTGGACCGAGTCGCCGCCGTTGGCACCCGCGGCGTCGACTCGTTCAGGTCCGCCTTCAAGATGAGCTCCTCCACCTTCGAGTGGCTGTGCGGGCTTCTCGAGCCGCTCCTTGAATGCCGCGACCCGATTGATTCCCCGCTCAACCTCTCCCCGGAGCTCCGCCTCGGAATCGGGATGTTCCGCCTCGCAACCGGGTCGGGCTACGCCGAAATCGCCAACCGGTTCGGGGTCACAGAGTCGGCGGCCCGGTTCTGCTCCAAACAGCTGTCTCGAGTCTTATGCACCAATTTCCGGTTCTGGGTCGGATTCCCTCCTCCAGAAGAGCTCAATTCCGTGTCAAAAGATTTCCTTTCTCTAACTGGGCTTCCCAATTGCTGTGGGGTGATAGCTTGTACCAGATTCACCCTCGTTGGCCATGAAACCCTGGCGGTACAGCTTGTGGTTGACTCGAATTCCAGGATTCTGAGTATAGTTGCAGGGTTTCGTGGCGACAGGAGCGACTCCCAGATTCTAAAGTCCACGACTTTGTACAAAGATATCGAGGAAAGGAAGGCATTGAATTCGAGTCCAGTGATTGTGGAAGGAGTGGCAGTGAATCAGTACCTAGTTGGAGGCAGGGGATACCCTTTACTTCCTTGGCTGTTTGTGCCATTCGGTGATGATGATGAAGATGAGTCTTTTGAGTCAAGAAGGGAGAAGGAGATGTTCAACGCCACAGTCGATTGGATGCGAGTTTCTGCGGCTAGGACCATTGGGAGCTTGAGGAAATGGGGGGTGTTGAGCATGCCAATTGGCGAAGACTTCAAGACAGCAGTTGGTTTCGTTGGTGCTTGCTCTATTCTTCACAATGTGTTGCTCATGAGGGAAGGTGGTGGTGATGTGGATGATTTGATTGGTGGTGGTGGTGATGATGATAATGGTCATTTGATTGAGGAACATTGGGATTTGTTTGGGAAGCAAGCTGCTGATGCAAGACTTGCATTGGCTAAGAGGGTGGCACAGTTTAAGAAATCATAAAGAACTGGGACAGTTCATAAGATGAAAATAGGACGATGATTGGTTGTTGTGATTTGTTTTTGACAGATAGGTACCATTATATGCTGATGATATGATTCATTCTTTGCTTCAAATTTTGTGGGATGAGTGGCTCATGCTACCAAGGTTTTGCTGAAGGAGGAGTTCTGCTAATCCTTTGTCTAAAGTCTAAACGGATTTATCCAAAATGGCAGATTGTCTAACTGCTGCCTGTCTTCAGAGTCTAATGCTTGGGACTCCGAGGATGCTGGCTTCTTTTCTGGATTTTGCATTCTTATGGCTCACGAATCTACATGAACGGATTTCATGATCAATGTTGAGTAGAAGATCCCTGCTTTAGTACCTAAAAATCAAGTCAGATAAATGTTTACCGGTAGACAATTAACATCGATGTACTTCATGAGGCACTGCAAAGCAAATTGCAACTTTGCAATGGCAAGCTGCACTCGTGCAATAAAAGTTTCAATCTGCTATTTCTAGACTTAGCAATTGGCATGCAATTGCAGATGTGGATAGCCTAACAGAATGGAGGTTGTGGTTTTCCAGTTAGGGGAACGGAGAACAGATGAAGAGTAAGAAGAAGAGTGTTGCAGTTCTGGGTTAAGAATATAGATGGAAGAAGAAGAAGAAAAAAACTTGATGGATGTCAACACAGCTAGAGCATAAGTATTTTTGAAATCTTGGAAGTGGGAGTTTTCAAAATATGGCAACCTAAAAAAAACAAATTCTTAGACCCTTTTACAAATTTTCATAAATAACACTGTTAAAAAAAATTACAAAATAGCAACCAATTCCGAAAATTTTCAAAAATAGCACCCTTTCTAAAAACGCCAGGAAAACCGCTGGGTAGTGGGTAGGAGTTTTCGACCAAAATCACTTGGGTTGGGGGCGGTTTTGTTGACCACTACGGGTAGGAGCAGTTTTGGTTCATAACCGCTGCCAAACCCAACGGTTTTGGTCCTATTTTTTTCGATTATTTTTAACCTAGGTGGAAACTTTAAAACGAACGTATCTTTGTGTTCGGGTATCCGATTGTAGCGAAATTTTTTTTTATGTCGCATAACTTTTCGAGATCTTGCAACCGCAAAAACCATAGGTGGTTTGGTCCCGCCTTCGTCCCGAATAAACGTCATTTGCTACCCCGAATGGGTTTTTTTCGATTTGGCCAAACTTTGACCGTCCATAACTTTGTGCTCCGCAATCCGAACGTCGTGAAATTATATTTGATTTTGCATAACTTTGTGCTCCTACCCGCAGCGGTCAACAAAACCGCCCCCAACCCAAGCGGTTTTGATCTAAAATCGCGCCCCCACCAAGCGATTTTTTAATTAATGACACACCAATCTGACGGTTAAAAAGTGAGAAGAGTTTTTTAATTAATGATAGGGGTAGCTTGGGTATTATGAAAAATTATGAAGTGTACAAACCAGACTTACAAACAGTACAAACCATAAAAACATGCAAACATTACAAACTAGAACGACAAAACATACAAACAAATTTTCAAACAATACAAAATGTATGAACTATACAAACAATACAAAGTAAATAGACAAAAACTTACAAACATTACAAAACAAATCAACAAACATTACAAAACATAATGCCGTCAAAATCGCGCTTTAAAACTTAAAAACTTACGATTTTACGCTTTTGAGTCACCAAAACGCTTTCGTTTCCACTTTCCATATAAAAACTTAAGTGTATAAAATCGGACTAAATTGCGCTTTAAAGCTTAAAAACTTACGGTTTCACGGTTCTAGTTCACCAAAACGCTTTATGTTTTTACTCTTTTAGTTGACTAAATGAGTATTCTTTTCATGAAATTAATTATAAAAAGTATCATTTTAAAGTAAATCACTAACAATATGATACATTTGAGATTAAAAGATACATACTAGGTACTTGGGTGCATTCTCAACTTCAATAGAGTAATCTAATTCACCAGCTAGCGTTTTCCCAAATTCATTAGCATAGAGGGAAAAGTGGCTTATCGTTAAAATTTATGTTTATGAACTTATTATTAAGATGCTATAAGTTGCTTTACTTTAAACATGAATCGCATGTATTTATTAACTTATCTAAATTCTGTGTATTCATATTTTGCATAGCATATGTCCTACTTAATAGATTTTTAGTTATTTTTCAGTATGCGTAAAAAACTTACGCTTTGATTCTACACTTTACGATTTTACCCCTTTTCTGTTTCTAAGTAGAATCGCACTTTTGACTGCATTGACAAAACATACTAACCATACAAATTGACACTACTTACAATACAAATCAGTAAACTTTTATAACAAATCAATACAAAGTATACAAACTAAACTAAAGAAACATTACAAATTTCAATATGTACAAATTAGTTATATAAACATTACAAACTAGAATGATAAAAGATACAAACAAAATCGATATAAACATTACAAAATAGTCGGACAAATATCACAAACTGCCGCTGTCGTTGGAAAATCCCCATTGCCGAAAAATCTTCACCGCCGACACCGAAAACTTCTCACGGTCGAAAATCAACTCTCCCTCTCTCTGCGGGAAAATTCTCCATGAAAAGGAAAATGAGAATGGCCACTACAAAAGTTACTAAAAAGGCAAACGGCCGAAAAAACTTGCATGGGACTGATCGCGCCGGAAATTTGACTAGCCGGCTTTTGGGAATAGGGGTGGACATTCGGTCGGTTCGGTTTCGACCGAACCGAAATTATGAATACCGGGTTCTCGAATTCTCCCAAACCTCAAACCGAATTCGAACCAAATTATAATTCGGTTCGGTCGGTTTAAACCGAATTATAATTTGGTTCGGTTCGGTTCGGTTTTCACACAAAACCGAATTTGTGAAGCTACTTGTATTTTCTCACTTTTAAATTATTTTTCACCCCTAATATAAACAATAAATATCAATTATATGCATCATCAATGATAAAATCAAACTTTTCAACACATAAGTCATAAAACATTTCAAATATTTAAGTCTAAAAACAACTACAAACATAAAATTCCACCATTTGGAGTTTGCAATTATAGTATTTCGGTTTTTCGGTATGAAATTTGGAAATTCGGTTCGGTTGAAAGAACCATGATTTCCGAACTATCCATATTTTTCTTTCGAATTCCGAATCGAATAGCATTAATTTGGTTTCGGTTCGGTTTAATTCGGTTCGGTTCGGATTTACCGAACCGTTTGCCCACCCCACAACTATTTTTTACATCAAACATGCCTCTGTACTTTGAAAACATTATAAATAATGCCTTCTGTTAAAATTTTCATCCAAAAACCGTTAACCAAGGCCCAACTTTGGTTTAGAACTTTAGGTGACACAAATGTCTAAAATATCCCTAATAATTTCACTTTAAAATTTTTTTGGTTCTTTTTTATAGCCAAATAATTTATATTTGAAGAGACCCAGAGAAATAAAACGGGAGACAAAACTGACATTTTCGCTTCGATTTGCAGATGTCGGGTCGTCTAAATCTCGGTTCAACCATGATTGACGATTTTTTTCAATGGAAAGTTTAACAGAAGGGCATGTTTGATAATTTTTTCAAAGTACAGGGGCTTGTTTGATGTAAAAACTAATAAAAGAGAATGTTTGATAAAACATCATAATAGAGGGACATATTATACCAATAACCCTAAAGCAAATTGACCACCAACAACCTTCCACTACTTATGACCGCCACCATCTCCATCCCACCCTCATTCCTAACCCATCCTTCTTCCCCTCAGTTTTCACAGCCCCCACTTCTTTCACAAACCAAATAAAACAAAAAAGAAATGTCCGCTCACTCCGCTCTACCGTCGCGGCCTCCTCCAGGGGAACGAATCAGGTGAGTAATCTTATGGTGAGTAACCAGCCCACATCAGCATGACATCAGCATCACTCTCTCTTCTGGAAAACCTTTAATTTTACCCTTCTTAATCTTTAACGGACGATTTCTCACTCGTTTTAAGTCGAAATTTAATTTTTTTTGCACAGTTAGATCAGATTAATTGTGCTCTTTAAAATGATATCCACTTTGATATATTTTTTGAACAAAAAAAATGAGCTTTTTTTACCAGTCTATTATACCATATGATATTGACTGGCATTGAAATAAGAACATACCTATGGTTTGAAAAGCGTACCATGGTGGTATTAAGAAACCAAGACTGTAGGATTGTTGAATACATGATAGTAGAAGTATATTAATTGCCATTTATGACTTTTATCATTGTGTACCACAAGATACCACCCTGTACCAGGGTGGTATTGAATGGTATTGTGTGGTATTTTTGGGTCATGTAATTTGTTCACTTAGAAATTTGTAGATTCAATAGATCATGATGAACTCGTCCCTTCTGTGCAAACGTTTTCAAAAATGAATTAAAAATGAAGAAAATACCATATGGTATGCAGTTGCTACCGAGAGGTCAGAATTTTTTTTTTCTCAAAAAATATTGAAAATTGTTCTCATTTGGAAGAGCACGATGAACTCGTTCCATCTGTGCAAAAAAAATTAAAATCCGAGTTAAAACAAAAAAGATATGAGCCGATTAAGAAAGCTAGGGAAAATAAAAATGGTCTTTAATTCTCCATCCTTAGATCTAGATTTTCTAAATGAATGATCCAAATTTGGTTATGGATAAATGAATAACCCATAGTTATGCACCATATCTTGAGCCCTCCTCCAGCTCCAATGCCGACCTTGAGTTCCTCCTCTTTGTCGCTCTCACCTAAAAAGAAGACACGGCCCATTCCTTCTATATCTTGCAGCGGGGAAAGGGTTTCTATGGTTGATGTTGGGGCGGTGGAATTCAAAAGCATATATGGGGTTTTAAGGTGGAGCTTTATGGTTGTTGTTCCTCAATTTAGTAGTACCTCTCGGTTTTAAGGGATAGGAAAAAGAAAGAGCTACTGGAGCCGTTCCAAATTAGGGGTCTATATTAGGGCTTGAGATAGGGTGAGTAACCACTTTAGGACCGTAGATCTAGGGGTGAATCAATCTTGCGGCTGGGCTGAATGCGGGGTCCAGAAGGGCATTTTTGTCCGTTTATGAATTTTTTTTTATATTCCAAGTTTAATGGCCGCTTTTTCAAAAAAAGGAGACCACTTTTAATGGTTGCTTTTTCAAAGGAGCAGAGAGAATCATTTCTCTGCAACTCTCTTTTCTCTTTCTCCCTTCCTTCTTCTCTCTCAGTCTATCATTTCTCTTTCTCTGTTACTTTTTTTTTCCTCTCCAATCTCTTTCTCCATATCTAGATCTGCTTCCTTCTCTTCTTTTTTCGTTTTTTTCTCTCCAGTAATCGACGAAGAAAATTTGCAGCCACCCTCTTTCATTGCGTTTTTTTGTCTCTTCATCAATATATATTGATATTACCACACTATACCATATGGTATTGGGTGGTAACGAAATATATATTGATATTACCACACTATACCCTATGGTAATGAAATATATATTGATATTACCACTCTATACCATATGGTATTGTGTGATATTACCACACTATACCATATGGTATTGGGTGGTAACGAAATATATATTGATATTACCACACTATACCATATGGTATTGGGTGGTAACGAAACATATATTGATATTACCACACTATACCATATGGTATTGGGTGGTAACGAAATATATATTGATATTACCACACTATACCATATGGTATAGACTGGTAATAACTAGAAAAAAATTTTGTGTCAAAAAAATATCAAAGTGGATATCATTTTGAAGAGCATAATTAATCTGATCTAACTGTGCAAAAAAAATTAAATTTCGACTTAAAACGAGTGAGAAATCGCCCGTTAAAGATTAAGAGAAAGAAAATTAAAGGTTTTTCGATGAGAGAGAAGGAGGTCCTGCTGTGGTCGGTCAAAAGTCAGCGCGTCAGCGCGTCAGCAATAAATAGGGGATAAGTGCATTTTACCTTACTGCCCTTCCGCATTTAATTTAAATAAAAAAGTGGACTGACACGTGGAGATCAGCTGATGAGTTACTGATGGGTTACTGACCCATCAGTTACTGACACGATCCGGACCCATTAGGATTAATTTTAGGCATAATTTAATTACTCTAATTAGGAGGGATATTTATGAATTTAAACTTTAATTGGGTAATCGGGTGTTACAAATTGACTCATCAATTTAATAAAAAAGAAAACATGACTCCGCACATCCTAGACCCATAGTCAGCGCTAGAGGTGTCAATGGGACGGGTTAGGGTTGGGTTTAGTCGGATTACGGGTTAGTCGGGTTTCGGATCCATCAAGTTACGGGTCCATCGAGTTCGAGTTTATCGGGTTACGAATCAGTCGGGTTGCGGGTCAATTGGGTATTTGGGTTAGTTGGGTTGCGGGTCAATCGGGTTACGGATCTGTGGCTCGATTAACTTGTAACCCGAAATATCTGTGACCCAATTGATCCAAAATTAACCTAAACAGACTATGAAATGTTATGTATAGTATATACATAGAATATATAAGGATTAGTTAATAGCTTTTTTATTAAGTTTCTAACTACAAATTACAAAATGTTCACACTTAGCGTGTAATGTAGTTAAATGTCAACGACTTTCAGCCTTTCTCTTCAATTTCCACACTATATACTTTATATAAAAGTTATAGGGTACCTGTTGATGGCCAGTTTACAGCACCCTGCTTTAATTTGTTTAAGGTCCGGAGAGCGCTGATTTCTCAAAGTCTTTAACCACCTCCAACTCCGTGTGAATATCTGGAAAAAAGCTCCCACCGCGGGGGGGGGGGGGGGGGGGGGGTGTCCTGGTTGGAACCTCCTCCGACGCTCAAATTAGTAACCTGATTGGTATAAAATAAATACGATGATGTTAGACCTGGTTCGGTCCCACGGTCGTAATTGAGCGTCGTCGGCTATTTAATGGCGTTCGGTGGAGGTTATCCACAATTCCATGGCTTAGTCCGCCAAATTGTGGGTGTGTTGAGTGTTTAGAGATTTAACACGTTTTGGAAGATCGGGAGGAGAGAGAAAACGTTTTTAGAGAGAGAAAGTAGAGAGGGTATGTATTGTGTGTGAGTTGTGTTGTGTGAAATAGTCATAAGCGACTTATGTTGTGTGTGTGACTTGTTGTCTTTAGAAAGGGGAAGGGGTGCTCTCTATTTATAGAAAAAAGTCATAGTTGAAATCCTCAACTTACGTTAACATTCACCAACATTTTCCATTATTCCCTTATACTCGTTAATATTCTCCGCTATACCTTAACATTCTCCGTCATACACTAATATTCCTCACCAATTATGGTATATGAGAAAGTTCAAGTGTGTATGAGAAAGCATGAGAAAGTGTAAGTATGTAATAGAGAATAAATGAAAATAAGTGAGTGATTATGGAACATAGAAAATCGGTGAATGGTTTTAGTTCGCTACTCTACGTATACATGGGAATGAGATGCTTATGTGGGAAATAGGTGCAATATGTAAGAAAAGAGAACAAAAGGGAGCATGTACATATGTGAATGTTGCATGTTCATGCATGGTTATGCATATGGGAAGTAAGAAAATGAAAGAAAGAGGAAGAAGTGAAGGTTGGAAGCTTTTGTGTATGGGAGGTGGAATGTTTCTGTATGCATGTATGGGAAAAAGAAAGAAAAAAAAGGAATGTGAAAGAACAAAAGGGAATAGGGAGGAGAGTGTATGTTTGTCATCTTCCCTTTTGCATGGGGAAGGAGGAAAGAAGAAATAGAAAAATCAAATAAAAGAAAGAAGGAAGGAAGGGAAAGGGATGTAAAAATGTAAAATACAGAATTAAGGGTTAATACATTATTTTGGCCTGAACTATGATAATATAATCAACTTTGGCCTGTGGGTCAAAATTAACATCCTGACCTCAATTATGTAACATATAGACTCAATTGGCCCGACACATACTTTGACCGTTAGTCAACATGACATGTCATTGCCTCGTCAGCCTAAAAATCATTAAAAATATTCATATTCAAATTATTTTTTTAATTTTTATTATTTATTATCAAATTAACAAAATAATATAAATTATAAAAACATAAAATAAAATAAATTTTTTATTTTTTGGGTAATTTGAAAATGATAAATTTTATAAATTAACCAAAAATGATCAACTTTTTTTATATTTTTAAAATTACCCATAAAGTAAAATATATAATTTATATAATATTTTTTAAATTTATAAAATTTAATTGGATAAGTTTTGGTTAATTTATAAAATTTATCATTTTTCAAATATACCAAAAAACAAAATATAAATTTTATTTTATATTTTTAAATTTTATTTTTTGGTTAATTTGAAAATGATAAATAACCAAAATTAGGAAAATAATTTGAATTTGAATTTTTAATGATTTTTAGGCTAACGAGGCAATGACATGGCGTGTTGACCGTCCAAATTGACGGTCAAACCATGTGTCGAGCCAATTGAGTCTATATGCTGCATAGTTGATGTCAGGATGTTAATTTCTGAAACCACGGGCCAAAGTTGATTATATGGTCATAGTTCGGGCCAAAATAAGGTATTAACCCCAGAATTCATGGTTAGGGAAAGTAACAAGAATAAGATAAAAATTACAATAACAAGAGTTGGAGAGTAAGAACAATAGGAGATGGATGATTTTAACGGTATAATATGAGTTTTCGGGTGTTTCAAGTACCGTAATAATTAAGAATCTATTTAGTGTATTAAGGAAAGGCGAGGTGTTTAATACTTTTAAGATTTTATCGATTAAGAACTGGGTCTATCGATCGATTGCCCCCCTTACCAATAGAAAAATTCGGAGTTCGTCCGGACATTTTCTGATGGTAAGTCGGTATTAGACCCAGTCTCAAGCGTTGTTCCTATAAATACCAGAGCGGAGGAACAGAATTCATTCTCCATTTCCCAACTTCCTGCTCCTGTACTTTTCCTCCCATCTTTTCATTTCTCACAAAGAAAATGCAGTTCACTACCCACAGTAAACTCTTGCTTCACTATTCCTAAACTAAATTCTCATTTTACCTTTCGTAAAAATGGCGAGTTTACCTTCATCATCACGAGATAATCAACATTCAATGATTATACCACCTTCCACTGTTGTGGTGGCAAGAGGACCGGATGCTAGTGGGTCTCGAAATATAGCACCTAACCCACTAGGTTTTAATGTCTGCCCTTGGAAGGTGATGTATCCTCTTGGTCGAGTGCCTCTAGAGTACCCAGTGGGTGGCCTAGGACGTGGTTTTTCGCAAAATGAAAAGTGGTTGCGAGAACTGTTGGTATCATATGATATGCCTCATCATTGGAGCTATGCCATACCCAACAGATTTGTTTCGGCTGTAAGTCACCCATCATCATGGCGATCACTTTTTCGTTCTTCTCTGGAGTACAAGTTTCGATTGCCCTTGCCTACATGGTTGTGTGTAGTAATGCACCGTAGTAAGCTTTCAATCGATTCTGTTAGTCCTCGTTTTTGGACTTTCATCGCTTGTTTTATCCTGTCATGTCGTCGAGTTGGGGTTCCACCATCCCTTGAGTTGTTTTATGCTTGTTTTTTCTTTCGTCACGATCAAGTGGCTTGGGAACTGCACAAACGGAAGTCAGCCAATAACCTTTGCACTTCGCTTAGCCATCTGAAGGGATCATGGGAGACAGAATTCTTTTATTTTCTTGCTCCACCTAGTGAGTTTATGTCCGGAGGTATTGCGGTTCCAGCTAACTGGAGTGAAGGTGTTACAGGAGAATTTCAGGATCCCGTGATTGAGGGAGAAATTGCTTTACAACCTGATCGGCTTCTCTAGAAGAAACCCATTGATATAAGTACTCCTGGGGCTCGAGCAAGCTTGTTTCTTGCTATTTATGGTAAAAGTACGTAATTTTTTACAATACTTGCCTTTCATGTGACCAAACTTTCTAACTGTAATCCTTCCTTGTAGATTACTCCCACTTTTAGAAGTGTATGAAGAATAGGGAAGTTCCAGCAGTGCCTCACTCGTACATCGGGGTGTCAATTCGTGAGAGAACAGATAATCCCCCGCGTGGACGGTCGAGAGTTCGTCATGACCAGGCAAAAAGAACTCGTTCTTGGGTGAAAGGATCAGGAGATTCACCTACTAAGAAGGGTCGCTCTGAGGGGAGAGACAGAGGTGCCAAAGGAAAAAACCTAGTGGGCGGTAGGGGAACCCTGAAGCATCAGGGGGAGTCTTCAACAGCCAGCAAAGGTGGAATTTTGGCTGGTGGTGTCATAACGTATGACAGCTTGTGCGATGCGAGGAAACACTACCCCGTCTTTGAAGATGTAGCCACGGGATCAACTTTTGCTTCTTCAGTTTCAGAGGTGCTTTTACGTTCTTCCTTTGTTTTTTGGTCTTCAACTTATATATGATATATTGAAGTTGCTATTTTGCAAATAGCTGGCGAGGTATGTTGTTGCCATGGAGTGTCGCCTAGCTATGGCAAAGCTTCGGGTTACTGAGGCCTGAGAGGAGGCAGCTCGCTCTTTGGAAGAAATGAGAATTCAGATGAAGACAAGAGAGGAGCAATTTTCTTTCAAGTCTTGTGAATGGAATGCAGAAATGGTGGAGGCTCAACAACATGTTGAGGCAGCCATACAGGAGTTGCGTACCTCAGAAGCAGTTGAGGCTGGCCTTCGTCAAAAAGTTGAGCAACTTCACGCCAGTATGCGTGAGGAGAGGCTAATCAGGAGGTCTTTGCGGTCGGAGAATACTGGTTTACACTCAGAAAACACCACACTCCGATCAGCGAATAATACTCTACGCCATCAGTTACAGATGGAAGTTTCGAGAGTGATGGATAATGTCCATCGCCTGGCCAGGAGGGCAATTTATTGTATGTATCCTGCAAGAGATATTGATGGCATTCGCCTTCGTCAAGTGGTGGAAGAATGTGAGACTACTTTGGAACCTGAGGAGGTGACATCCCAAAATATTAATGTCGTGGAGGAATGCGCTGGTGCTCCTCAGTCCGGGGAAGCAGCAAGTCAGATTTCGAATGTAGAGATTGAGTTCCAACGCCTCTCGCCACTTTTAGATGCGATTTCTGAAGCACCTCCAATGGTTGGCACCCTAGTGCATTCAGACTTTAATATCTCTACGGCAATGTTGTTGGCTGCAACCGAGTTACTCGGCCCAGAGTTTTTTGAGAACTAAAGTTTATGAAATTCCAACTTGAAATAACATTGTAAGATATTAGGGTAAATTGTAAGTTTGGTCACTAAAATTACTATAAAAGTTCACGTTTATCACTAAGATTAATTGATTCTATCCGTAGTCACTCAAATTAGTTACACCGTTCAAGTTTGGTCACTGGCCGTTAGTCTTCGTTAAATTTTGCTGAGGTGGCAGTCAACTCTCATAGTTGACCGTTAAATAGGTGCCGTGACAATTAAAAATTAAATAAAAAATAAAATTTAATCTTTTAAAAAATTCTACCTCATAATCAATAATAATTTAAAAAATCCTTAATCCCACTGTTGCAAAACCGAAGCCCAGATTCTTTAGCCTTAATGGAAGCTTTAATCGGAGAAGCCTCCCTCATATCGAAGGCCTGGGCTTCGGACGAGCATGAATGCAACGCCGCCGATCCCGCTCGACGCCGAGCTGACGACTCCCAAACAGAAAGCCGCCGCCGCCGCATCCACCGCGTTGCCCCCTCCCGGAGAATCTTCCTCCCGATCCATGAACACTGCCCGTCATCCATGGCCACCAGCCCACCACGCCATTCAGCAAACTCCTTGTCTCCTACTCTGTTTATAGCGAGTATCAGTCCCGGGGTAGTACCAGTTCAGTTATAACTTGGTATCAATGTATGCTAACAAGTGAACGTTTCAGAGTTCTGAGACTCGGGTTGCCATTCAACGGTACGCCTCAAAATCCGGCCAAACGTAATGTATTGGTATGGTCCATTTTGTTGTAGTCTGTTCTGTAAATACAAGGCATTCGGTAGCTTTGCAAATATCTAGTCTGCAAGTTGTGTGTGTGAAGAAAGTGATAAGAATCATGCCTTCATGGAATCAAAACTTACGCCTTTCTTTTCCTCGCAATACTAATAAACTGAGTTGGCATGTGGCCAATGGAAGGTTTATCTAACTCTGTTCCCCGTGAGGTGAGCTGGGAAAACAATTAATCACACTAATTGTTTTCTCCTCAGCAATCGGAAAGAATAATTAGTACCTACTTAATACCGTCCTCTAGCATTTATATATGTATTTGCAGACAAATGCTAAGACTGTAGTTTAGCGTTGTGTCTACGATGTCGATCCCCGCGGTAAGCCTTCCCCCAAGAAAGAAACAGAAAAGAACGCCAAACCCAAACCCACAAACCTTCGCCGGCGGTGCCGAGGTACCGGACGAGCTTCTCATGAAGGACATCTCCGGGGAGGGGGCAACGCGGTGGTCCCGGCGGCGGCGCCTTTCTGTTCCGGAGTCGTCAGCTCTGCATCGAGCGGGATCGGCGGCGGTGCATTCATGCTCGTCCGAATGGCCACCGGCGAAGCCCTGGCCTTCGACATGAGGCAGGTTGCTCCGATTAAGGGTTTCCAAACAATCTGGGCTTTGATTTTGCAACGGTGGGATTAAAGTTATTTTTAATTATTATGATAATGAGGTCAAATTTTTAATAGATTAAATTTTAATTTTAAATTATATTTTTTAATTGCCACGTCAACTATTTAACAGTCAACTATGAGAGTTGACTGCCACCTCAGCAAAAGTTAACGGAGACTAACGGCAAGTGACCAGACTTGAACTGTGTACGAATTTGAGTGACTACGAATAGAATAAATTAATCTTAGTGGCAAACGTGAACTTTTATAGTAATTCTAGTGACCAAACTTGCAATTTACCCTAAAATATTATGTGAGATACTAGGTCATGTGCATAGCTTAGCTTATAAGCATCTGTAGTAGGTAATGTACAATGGGCTTCCAAACTTTTGTAATAATAAACACGCTGTTTTTATTGCTAGCTATCTTTCACCCTACCATGGTATTTATTTAGGGAATAAATCCACTGGGGTGTTTATTTAAAAGATAGCAAGGGTATACCATATTTATGGAGTAAAGTATCTCCTTAGATGCATTGTGTTCCAAGTCCTTGACATGTCTTGACAATCAGGGAGTGACAGTTTTACAGTATTTGGTCCCACCACTTTACGCGCTTTGTAAGGACCCTCCCACTGGGGGTGGACTTTCCTTGACTTGGAATGTGTTTGAAGTTTCTCCTAAGAACTCATTCTCTTTCCCTGATGGGTCGATTTCTCACCTTGGCATTGTAGTAACGCGCGATCCTCTCTTTGGAAGCGGAGAGTCGCAAAACTGCTTCCTCTCGACGCTCCTCGATGAGATGTAGATCATGAGTGAGCTCGATTTGATTTTCATCGGGGTGGAATGCTTGGATTCTGTAAGAGGAGAGCTCCATTTCAATTGGCAGCACAACATCGGTGCCATAAATCAGGGCGTATGGTGTCTCCCTAGTGAAAGTTTTGTAAGTTTTCCGGTGGGCCCAAATCACATGGGGCAGCTCCTCGACCCATCGACCCTTGTCCTGGCCTAATCTGGTTTTTAGGCCCCATAGGATGCTTTTGCTAGCAGCCTCAGCCTAACCGTTAGCTTGAGGATAGGCCACCGAGGCATATCGAAGTAGAATTCCATATTGGGCATAGTAGGCCTGTAAATCTTCGCTCTTGAATTGTGTCCCCTGATCCATGATTAGAGTGTGAGGGAGACTGAACCTGCATAAGATGTTTAGCCATAAAAACTTTTCAACTCTCTAAGTGGATGGGCTAGCGATCGCCTCAGCCTCGATCCACTTGGTGAAATAATCAATGGCTACGATCAGCCATTTCTTTCGTCCAGGAGCCGTGGGAAAGGGTCCCAAAAATTCCATCCCCCATTGAGCGAACGGCCATGGCCCGATGTTAACCTGCATTTTTTATGGAGGTGCATGAGTGGTTTACGCGGCCAGCTGGCATTTGGGGCATGCTTGAGCATACTTTCGAGTGTCTCGTCGCATCGTGGGCCAGTAATAACCTTGTCGTAGAAGGGTTTTTTCCAAGCTACGAGGACCAACATGCATCCCACATGATCCTTCATGTACCTCCTGTACGGCAAAGTGTGCTTCGCCAATGCTAAGGCACCGCAGGTAGGGTCCAGTGAAGCCTTTCTTGTATAAATCTCCCTCGATCAGGAGGTAACGAGGCACACGTCTCTTAAGGCAGATGGTTTCCTTCTGGTCAGCGGGCAGGAGCCCATGTTTTAGATACTCGATGAGAGGTGTTTGCCAATCGGATTGTGCTGGAAATGAGGTAACTTGGGAGCATAACATTGTTTGACGCCTTTCAACGATCACATGCCTCTCGCTTAGGAAGTCTTGTGTTGTTGCAAGTTTTGATAATGCGTCTTCATGAAGATTATCCACACGAGATATGTGGACTATCTCCGCTTGAGGAAACTTAGAGAGCGCCATACGAGCGGCATTGGTGTATGGTACAAGCGTGGTCTCTCGTACCTCGTATGCCTCCTACACTTGATTGACAACTAGGGCAGAGTCGGAGTGGACCCTAATTCGATGAATGGCCAACTCTTGAGCCATAGTCAGTCCCGCTAGGAGGGCTTCATACTCAGTGGCATTGTTCATCATGGTGCTGGCAAAGCGAATTGCCAATTCTTGAGTGACTCCGAGAAGACTGATGAGCAGAACTCCTGCTCCTGATCTAGTTTTACTTGATGCCTCATCAACGTACAATCTCCAAGTCTCTATTTCTGGTGGGAGGCATGCTCGAACACCTTCTGTGACAAAGTCAGCTAAAACTTGGGACTTGATGGCGGTGCGAGGGAGGAAAGTGATATCGTATTCACTAAACTCGATGGCCCAGTTCACCATTCTACCAGCAACATCCATGCGCTGAAGTAGATGACGTAAAGGTAGTTGAGAGAGTATGCATATGGGGTGGCTTTGGAAGTACGGACGCAACTTTCGAGTGGCAACCACCACATCTAGGGCGGCTTTCTCCACGGGAGAGTATCTTGTTTCACAATCTAACATGGTCTTACAAATGTAGTAAATAGGATGCTCTGTATTGTCTGTATCTCGGCGTACGAGTACAACACTCACAACCTTGGAGGAGACAGCAAAGTATAGGTACAATGTCTCATTGTTGACGGGAGTTGAGAGTATTGGGGGATTCACCAAGTATTCCTTCTGTGAAAGCTTTCTCACATTCAGGAGTCCACCGGAAGGTTTTTCTAGCTCCTTTTAGGGTGTTGAAAAAAGGAGTACTCCGATCCCCAGCTCGTGAAATGAATCGGTTGAGTGCCGCAATTCTTCCTGTTAGAACATGTACTTCCTTATGCTTTGTAGGTGATGTCATCTAGAGAATGGCCTCAATTTGTCTAGGGTTAACCTCGATTCCACGTCTTGTCACCATGAATCCTATAAACTTCCCTGCGGTAGCCCGAAGACGCATTTCTTTGGATTAAGGCGCAAGTTGTATCCGCGTACGGTATCAAAAGTATCGCGTAGATCTTCTAAATGTGCATGTGTCTCTGCACTTTTGATTAGAATGTCATAAACATAGGCTTCAACATTTCGACCTAGTTGTCGGGCAAAGACTCGATCCACAATACGTTGATAGGTAGCTCCGGCGTTTTTGAGGCCGAATGGCATCACCTTGTAGCAATAATTTCCTACCGGAGTCATGAAGGCAGTATATTTTTGGTCGTCCTTCTTTAGTGGAATCTGGTGGTACCCTGGCAACATATCAAGAAAAGAGATATGGCGATGACCGGCGGTCGCATCGATAAGCAGATCAATCTTGGGCAGGGGATACGGGTCCTTCGGGCAAGCCTTGTTGAGATCGGTGAAGTCAACACACATTCTCCACTTGCCATTGGCCATATTAACCATGACCACATTAGCCAACCATGTTGGGTAGAGAACCTCGCTAATGAAGCCGGCTTGCCCTAGCTTGATTACTTCCTCTGCTATGGCCTGGCAACGTTCCCATGCAAAGTTCCTTCTTTTTTGCTGGATAGGCTTGCTACCTGGGATAATTCCTAGTGTATGCTCGGCAACTTTTGAATCGAGACCAGGCATATCCTCGGGCCCTTGAGCAAAGAGCTCTTTGTACTCGATCATCAAACTGAGAAGTTGTGGGAGATAATATTTAGGCCATGCCGTGGATACACGAATGG